GGTTTAGGGTTTGGGGGTTTAGGAACATTTTCAATAAATATTATATAGTATAGAAATACAGAAACTAGTGTAACAACACTGATAAGGATGATTATGATCATAATAGATAGCAATGCTAATGATCTGACGGTTGGTGCCTGAGGCCTTAGACCGCCATAAGACCCCACATATTCCATGCTGAGGTTTATGTTGGGAAAGTTGGTGAACGAACTACTTGTACCTAGATTCAGGTAGACCGTGCAGCCTTTGTAGGGTTTGAGGTTATGGAGATTGGCTTCTACAGCTTGTTTGCTTGTACTGCAAATTGACGGATGACATGTACGTGATTTATGGGTGTCTCCTATGTGTATGTGTACGGTTGGTTTTCCACTACAGACACCCTCCCAGAAACCCCACACTGTTCTTGAAACCCCCAAGTTCAGCACCCTACAGATCCCTTCCCCCAGAGTAGTCCCTGACCTCATGCAGGCGATGCAAGCCTTCCACCGGCTGTCTGGCTCCCCGGACATGAGCCCGAATTCCCCAAGGCGGCCTCTCCCGACCGACATCCGGAAGCGCGGGTCAGGTATCAGGTGGAGCACTGCTGCTTGCATCAACTTGGCACTGCATGCCCAAGTTTAGGACTCGACTTGCGAAATACCCCGACATTGAAGCTGCACACTAGCCATTAGTTTCCAGTTTATACGCAGGATGACGGTGGTCAAGAGTAACCGACTGGCCGACATGGAGGTGGACATGAAGGCGAGCGGGCTTGGATTTAGGTTTGTGGTCCCGTCCAGCAATGTGGGTTTAGTGAAAGTTTAGGGTTTAGGGTTGGGCTTCCATGCCGCATTTGGGGCTTTGCTTCAGGTCTACGCAGCCACGAGGTTCGTCAAATCAAGCGCCAGCATTCCTTACATTTCCGATCAGTGTACTTACAAGATTGTATGAGCATTAATCTGTTTACTCACCAAAGATAGTAAAAGCGCAGAAAGCTTTACTAAGCTCGCGAAATCCTGAAGAAAAACATGAACAAACTGCATAAGCCCGAAACCCTGACATGTTTAGTCCTAAATCCTAAATCGGACAGACCTTGGCTGCACCCTGCTGGTCAACAACTCTTTAGCTTTTATCCGTCGGCCTCAGCTTTTTGACCTGTAGCTTGAAGCCTTTGGGGTGCGGGGGTAATGGTACGGTAAAACCACTTCTGGTAGTACTAGTAGTAGTAGAAATAGTAATACTCACAGAAGCAGTAGCGGTAGTAGTTGTAGTAGTTGTAGTAGTTGTAGTAGTAGTCGTCGTCGTGGTGGTGGTGGTGGTGGCGGCGGTGGTGGTGGTGGTGCTGTGGTCGTGGTGGGGGTGGAAACGAGAGGGCTACATGCGAGCTGATGAAGTTCTTCGTGGCCTGGTGTTGGTGTTGTCACCTGCCATGCTAGGGCACATTCCTGTTCGACGGCGTGTTTGTCCCTCTGTTTGTCTGTCACTCTGTCCGTCTTTCTTCCTGTTTTGGGCTGTCTGTCTGTCTGTCTGTCTGTCTGTCTGTCTGTCTGTCTGTCTGTCTGTCTGTCTGTCTGTGTCTGTCTGTCTGTCCCTCTCTCTCTCTCTCTCTCTCTCTCTCTCTCTCTCTCTGGGGATGGGTGTGTGTGTGGGTGTGATGCTCAAGGCTGAACCGTGGTCCCAAAAAAAACCCGCACCAACGCGGTCGGCAGCCCGAAGGTCGAAGATAAAGCAAACCCCGAGGGCCTCAGCTGGAGCTTAAGGCAAGCCGTAAAGCCGCAGAGCCTTTCAGGTGCCCTTGGAGTGCTCCATCGAAATGATGCCGAGCCAGCGTAACGTCAGCCGGCGAGACGACGACGAGGACCTTGAAGTCATCATGAGCACCACCATCATCACCACGGTGTGGGTGTTGAACTTGATGTTGGCGATGATAGTTTAGTAGCTTATTCTTCCCTCGGATGCTTGACTTGTTTGTTCGCCGTTACTGCACATCAGGTGTCGGTGTGAGCACTGATTACTGCGGCTTTGTGAGGCCTAGTTACAGAGGTGCCCAAGATGCCTCCACTACGAGCTTCAGGTTCTCAGACATCCTATTACGCCCCTTTCTGAACCGGACAACCCCATGTCTTCAACCCTGCACTGTGATCGGACACCCCATATTGTGGCATGACGACATGAATGTCACTTTCAAACATTGATTGCTCGTGCTCCTGTATTGCACCCTCTTGCCCCGCATGATCCGTGCGACTGCAAGGACTCATCCTCTTGCAACGTGCTCAGGTTTGGGCTTTGTTTGTCTGGCTCGAGCTCCTCTACCCACTTGCGCAACTCAAATTCTGAAGGGTTAGATTTTGACATGTGCGAGTCTAGACTGTAGCACCCAGCGACTCCAGCATCCAGTCAACTTCAGCAAACACCTCTCCAAAGTCCAACGGCTAAAGGAAGGTTAAAAGCTGAAAGGGTTTCAACTCCTAATCCGCCGATTGCCACAACTTCCATCCTCAGCACCTCCACCGTCAGCAACCGGCATTTGAAACGCCTAACTCTACGCCATCGAGATCCTGCTTGGATTGCTCGAACGGCACATTCTATATGGGTAGCAAGGGACACTTCCCAGTGCATCTAGAAAGGACGGCGTTAAGGTAGGTGGCTTTGGTTTGTGTTGCAGCATCATGAGTTGAGTTGTTCGGCTGGCTAGGATTCGATCTAAAATTCAGATCCTTACAGATATCCCACGAAGTCCCACAAAGGGCTTCTTGGTAAGTCGCTGGACAGTCTTGGAGCAGCCATGCTGTCGGGGCGAGCCTAGGCTGCCTGCGCGTCAGACCTGCAGAGCTGGAGTGCGGTCCACAGGCACGCGGCAAAGATCAGGCTTTGGGGGTTTAGGGTTTAGAGTTCGGGACTGGAGACAGTGCCGGACAGCGATAAGTACTACAGTACAAGCAAAGCCTGTTACCAGTGACATGCTGATAAGAAGCATGCAGAACTGCAAGCAAGCCAGAACACCATTGCTACCATGCCTGCACAGATGCGCGTTCGAACTCATCCTGCTACTGCGCTGCTGTCGCTACTGCTCTCGTTGCTCCCCGCAGAACGAGCCACCACCACAGCCGAGACGACACCATCACTGCTCCTACAGCTTCCACCACCAGCTGATACAAGTACTGCTACTGCCACTGCTGGTTACTGCTATCAGCAATAATACCACGGCTACGGCGATGCGTGCGGCCACGATGACTCGGCTGCTGCGACCATTACCAGCACCACTACCACTAAACCAAAAACCACGACGACGACGAAAACGACTTCGACTGCTGCTGCTGCTGCTGCTGCTGTTGCTGCTGCGGCTTCTACTGCTGATGCTACTGCTGATGCTACCGCTACTGCTACTGCTACTGCTACTAGTACGACTGCTGCCACCGCCACCACCAGCACCCGTCGCGGCCGCCTCCGTCGCTGCTGCTACTGCTACCAGTACCTGTACTACTTGCATTATTCATTATCTGTACTACTGATTGCGCCCTGCTCGCCTCTTTTCTAGTCGCTTTGATAAGACTGGTGGAACGTTCTGCATCTGCCTGGCAGCAGGTGGTAGTTGGCACCTCGCCAGGAATCATGTTCCAGGACTGCATTTGACATGCGCGAGAACCAAAGACATGCACTCTTCGGTCCCCGATGCCTCGCCCCACTGGGCGTTTTGAAGGTTCCTTCGTCGGGAATCGCGAGTTCTTGGTGTGTGCTGTGTCCGTAATGGCATAATAAATTCAGCACAAGCACTCCTGACAGGGGAGTCCTACTACAGCTTGAACCTTAGACCTTCGACTTGGTGATTCATGCAGTGGCAAGCCCTATAACGCCTGGCACATGAATTTATAGTGCCTTCAACTGAGTCATAGGACGTCGACATCTACACGCCTGATGGTTCGCGACTCCTGCTTCCTCAGGTGGAGGGTTTGGGGTTCACATTTGGGGATTTTCCGGGTTTAGGGTTTATATGGGTCTAGGGAGTCTAGGGCACATAGAGCCTGGGCCCTAGTCTATAAAGGTGGTGGACCAGCCCGAAGACTACGCATGGCTTTCGCATCCTTGCCGCTGAATCTGACCAATGATCTAGAGATGCAGCGCTGTCGTCTGTCGGCAATGAAACGATGCCCACACAATGTGCATGTCGAGGGGGACCGTTCGAGCCACTCATACAACGTGAGGTATCACAGCATCACTAGCCCGCCCTGACGTCGCCATGATGGCACTGTGGTGTCGGAAACCGTCACTTCTGAGAAGTGTGTCGCATGAATCGCTGGTAAGTGCTAATGAGAGTCGCTACCCGGCCACCTGAATCGACGTAGGCCTTCCTCTGATGGACGTGGGCTGAATCGGGAATGGATCTTGAACCTCATAGAACACGCGATGGTCTTAGCCTCTGTCGGCAGGTGACATTGATGCTGGAAGTAGGGCAAAGCTGCTTGATCATGGGCCTGCGACCCAGCATCCTTCAGCTTCCCAAGCCCTTTGCATAGACCCCTCTCCTGCAACCCTAAACCCTAAACTCGAAACCCCTAAACCCTAAACCCCTAGAGCCCTAAAACCCTAAGCCCTCCTGCCCCTCACTTCAGTCACACAGTTTCGGTGAATCATTTTGCCAGTCTGAACACGCCCAGCCGTCGTGCCCAGCAAGTGACGCCTCAAGAGGAGTCTACACCCACCGCGGCCCACTAGGGGGTTCCGAAAATTAGGGTACCTTATTTTGAGGTCCTTATAATAAGGATCCTACAATTTAGGGTGCTACGTAAACCCTAAACCCTAAAGCCTAAGCCCTAAACCCTGCTATATTAGGGTCCCCCTATTTTCGGAAACCCAGCCAACTCAGGCCCTAGCGGTATTGGCAAGAGCTCCTTGCTGCGAGTCCTGGGCCAGCTGTGGCCATGCACCTTGGACGGCTCTGGTCTAGATGTGGGAGTTTCCGAAAATAGGGGTACCTTACTTTGGGGTCCTTATAATAAGGATCCTACTATTTAGGGTACTGTATTAGGGTCCCCTATTTTTGGAAACCCCCATGTTCCTTCCCTATCAACACAAGTCCCAGCACATCGTGCTGCGTCCCGCGTGCATACGTGATATTAGAAGTTTTTTTGTGCAACATGTTGGCTGGAGGCTTCCAGACGCCTGACAAGGCACGATGCCTCCACCGGTGGGCTTGGACTGGACTTTAGTTTGAGATTAACATATGTCAATCAGTGGTACCGCTAGTGAATCCGGCAGTGTTGAACCCTAGTTGAACCCTAAGCCTTTTGGTGGCATGGACCTCCATGTTGCACCTCGCCTCCGGGATCATATCGATACAAATTCTGCGTGCGGCAGTGATGCCTTGAGCTTCGCGGTATCAGGCATTACAACTACATTTGCAATTTAGGGCTGCTTACCCCATGCTTAGCGACCAGAACTTCCCTCATGCAGACGGAACCCGTAAAGAACCTGAGTGCACCTGACAGCTGGCCCCCAGAGCGTTGAGCACTGAAGCTCACAGCTTCCTCCGAAGCACATCAGAACGCAAGAGCTCTCAGATTTTCGCAAAGTACCAGAAATCCGAGGCTCAGGCCCTCTAAGCCCGAAGCCTGAAGTTGACGGAGCTTGTAGAGACAGGCGAGACCTGCGATGATGAGCAGGCATGATCGGTCACTCGAAGTAGGGCCGCTGCTGCAAACGAAGAGTCGGTCGGCAGCTTTTTGAAATTGCCGGGTCGGTAGGGTGAAGTATTCGTCCTCTGGATAGGTCATTGAAGCGGACTCTAAGCCTGGAAGCCGTCACTTTCCCTGGTTCCTTGCGGCGTATCTCGACATCAATCCCGAACACCCCAAAGCCCAGCTGCCGGGCAACGGCGCAGATTTGTTTGTTCAAAGCAGTTCTCGAAAGACGTTCAGGGCCTCAACACAACTCCAGAGCTTTCAAGTGCCATGAACCTCGTCAAGACAAGATCCAGCAGGTCCTGAATCGAAGCCGAAGCCAAGCCCTCACTCGATGCGATTAGCCTTTGCTGAACCGGGGTAGGGACCGGGGTTGCGGTTAGGACGGTTAGGATTGAGGACTCGAGGGCTATAAGGCGACATCCTAACGTCCTTACATCTTTGCAGTTGGCATGGTTCAGCCGGGTTAGTGCCATTACAGTTTGTAGTTCGCCACGTCATTCGTCGTGACTCTGCGAATTCTGTATGTTACTACATGTGTGGATGTGAGTGGAAGTGTAGTGCAAGTACACGTGCACCATGCGGTGCACTTAGCAGTACTCGCCCGACATCGCCTTGAGATTAACACTAACTGTAGCTGCTTCTCCATGTTTCTCCACCTGGTGTTGCCTCACTGGTGTTGCCTCACCATCATCACCTCAGGCTTGACATTATTGTCTCATTTGCCAAAAGGTTGTGATTGTTCGTGCTTGCTGTCGTAGCTACACTGACTTTTACACCCTGGGCGGAAATCGAACATGTCTTTTGAAGAGGCCGCCGGCACGGAACCTGTTCTTCCTTGCGCAGAGGTACGCCCCCTCGGCGGAGGTACTAAAAGGGTTTAGCAAGAAGTCGTTGTGGCAGGTGGAACACAGCAGAAGAGGGTAATACGGGCATTCCACTCGACTTGTTTTTGACAAACTGCACTGCACATGACCAGGTCGCAGGGGTCTCTGTTTGGTGTAGTGATGGCATGTTCAAGGTTCCATGTGCCGCAGCTCGTCTCAAACGATCCGAGTTCGCTATAAGCTTTTGCTTTGCCGATGCGCCTCCCTTCTCGCCTTTCCCCCGGGTCCAAAGTGGCCGTAACGGCACCATCTGCTGGGACCGCTGCAGTATTCCCTCATGTCCGAGACCGTGCGATCGAGGTCTTGCGCACGAGCTTCGAGTTTACAGTCGTGCTCGCAGAGTCCATGTACAGTGTCGAGACTCCCCCGCGCCAGCGCGCGGCCGAGCTTAACAGGCTCTTCGCGGACTCCGAGGTGGAAGGCATCGTTTGTGCCATCGGAGGAGATGACCTCGTGCGTGTGGTGCCGTTTCTGGATAGGAAGGTCATAAGCGAGAACCCGAAGGTCGTTCTCGGCTACAGTGACATCACGAGCCTGCACCTCCTGCTTTTCTCCCTGGGCATCATGTCCTACTACGGTGGAAACCTTCTCTGCCAGTTTGGCCTGCTGGGTGGTATGCACTCCCTGACTCGAACGTCCTTCATCGCGGCCACCCATGAGAAGGATCCCTTCCAGTTGCTTGAGTCACCGACCTACGTTGTCGACTATCCAGACTGGAGCACGGATGCTGACAAATCCTTGGTCTCGCTTCCTGCTCCCCTCTGGGATTGGCAAGGTAAACTGGATCAAACAAGCAAGGGCATTCTGTGGGGTGGCTGCTTGGACTCTTTGTTCGTGCTCCTGGCATCGGGATTAGATTTCATTCTGCCCCACGAGTCTCATGGCAGGCTAGTTCTGTTCCTTGAGACCTCCGAAGTCATGCCACCGGATTCCGTGGTCTACGGATTCGTGCAGGCCCTGGGCCAGCGCGGCCTCTCTCGAAGGGTGGCTGCCTTGCTCGTTGGAAGGCCGAAGACCGAGTTCTTGGGCAAGGAGCCCATCGGAGGCAAGGCCACTTATGCCGAAACCCAGAAAGCCGCGATTCTACGTGCGTTGAAGGAGCATGTCGTTGATGAGGACTTACAGGAGCCGGCAGAGGCAGAGGTTCCTTTCCCGGTGGTCTTCGATATGGATTTCGGCCACACCGACCCTCAGAATTTCCTTCCGCTGGGATCCATGGCCGAGGTGGACCCCATCCGCAGGCAGATAAGCATTGTGCAAGACTGCTAACTACTAGAATCAGAAGGGATGTTTACAGTAACCTATCTTCGGAAGCGCAGCGCTTGTGAGCCTAGCCAGCGCCTCTTTTGCTCAGCAGTCGATCATCCGGCTTTGGAAAAAACTCGCGCCAGCGGTTTAGCTACTCGCGTCGCCGATACACCATCCTAAGCCCCAAAAGCAGCAGATCCAGTTACCACGCCCAAATTCAGGCCCAACAATCCTTGGCCCTAACGTCCCGAGCCCCTAGACCCGGCAGGTCGCAACAATTCGGCTTGAGTATCTAGTTTCTCAGTTCTCAGGAAGACGGAACGTAGTCTTTTGGGTGTAGTGGCCTTTGGAGGGTGTGTCCAGTAAAATCTATGCATTGTCTGGTCTTCACTATTCTTCCCAGTTTGAGCTGGCTGCACAGATCTTTCATGCAACGTTTTCACCGTAACCTTGCAGTTACCGGCGCTCAATCCAAACTCAAACCCGAAACCCAAAGTTTGGTATCCGTGCAACTTGACCGACAACCGGATGGGACCATACGAGGTCGTCGAAAGGCCTCGCAGTTAAGCCACCCGAAGCCATAGCCTTGGGGCCTTCCAGTCGATGTAGCAGGCCCTACCTGTTCGATGGCACCTTGCGGGAGCAGATTGCGTACCCGGCCAGTCGCCCAGTAGACCGAGGATATTACCCAAAGCCTTATAATGTATATATATATATATATATATATATATTTATTTATTTATTTATTTATATATATATATATATCCTTTAAACCTCAAATTCACGCCCAACTGTCAGCTCTTTATCAGCTGGGGACAACCCCAAAGGCAAGCAGTCGGCGGCTGTCTTTGGACCAAGGTGTGGGATTCGTCCCTGCTGACAGAGCTTCGACCTCGGAGAGCACCAGCAAGTCTCAAAACTTAGGGCGCATGCAGTGTTTCAGAGTTTATGTAAGCTTTACGAGACTTACAGGTGCAGGTTGGAGTTTACATCGTGTTCCGTGCTTACGACCTATAGGCAGTCGTCAGTTCAAGCCTTGTTACCACCAGCTTAGTGTAATAATTAATTACCAATACTATTTGGGGGGGCTCCTTATTAATAATAGTATATTATACCATAACTGTAATAAGGTAGAGCACCGTCGAGTGTCATCTGCTCCGGGCCCCGGGGATCTGTCGCGTCACGGCTTTAGGGTTCGCCACCAAGGGTTTAGGCTTCAGGGTTTAGGGTTTAGGGTTTAGTTTAGGGTTTAGGGTTTAGGGTTTAGGGTTTAGGGCTTCGGACAAGGGCCCAGCCCTCAGGATTCCGAAGAATCCCCGTAGCCACTCCACACCCTGAGCCCCATGCATCCTCCGAAGGAAGGACCTTGATCCCCAGAGCACGAATCTCCGCACCCCATCCTGCATACCCAGAAGGGCCTAAATTATTTGGGGGGGTTCCTCATGTACCGCCCAGGCCCAAATTTCTATTCTAAATGTCAATGCCCTTTTAGGACCTCCCTCCCTTTCCTGTATACCCAGACTCCCAGCTGAACTCGCTGCGAGGCTCAACGATGCAAACATGGCGCGCCTCTTCGCGGAAGCCAACTTGAGTGAGGCAGTTCGTTTTTTTAGGTATTCGGGCTTAGATTTCGGATGCAGCATGTTGATGCGCTGCATGTTTTGACAGGGCGCCCGATTACAACTTCTCATAGATGCCGGGTTTATGTTGATGCAATGCTGCGCCTGGGTTGGTGCAGAAACTAGCTAGGTTTCATGGCATCGGAGCGGGGTATAGTTTTGTTGTTGTCGGGCTCGGTGTGCTCATGAAGTCTGAGACCCAGACCGTACAAGATCCAAACCCCTGGACTTGGACTGTAAGACAGAAGAGTAGTTAGAAGCCTTGATCTGTGTCATGCCTTAGCATCTTGCAGCCTGCAACTCCTGACCCCGTTGGCTCCAGCCGGTTCTGCCCCAGACTTCATGGACTTCCAGCATGCAAAGCCAGAGGCACCGACAGCACCGAAGCTCATGTCATGACCTTTCTTTCGCCCGTCAAAGATCCTGCCTCTAAGACACCATAACTCCAGAACCCCAAACCCAAGATCACAAGAAAAGGCTTTGAACGTTGTACACTATTTCAATCGTAGGGTTCTAGAGTGAACGACTACCCAAACAAACATAGGCAAGGAAGCCCGATGAAGCAAAGCCTCAACCCTAAACCCACAACCCTAAACCCTAAACCCACAACCCTAAACCCACAACCCTAAACCCTAAACCCTAAACCCACAACCCTAAACTCAATCCTAGCAGGTCTGGAGTGCCCGGAAGGAGGAGGTCGACACCCGAGGCATTCACTGGTCCGATGCCGTGCGCTCAGATGACCGGGTGGAGGCTTTGGGGTTTTTGTTTGGGGTTTCGGGGCTTAGGGCTTGGGGTTCAGAGTTTAGTAGGGTTCAGGGTTTTAGGTTGAAGTTTTGTTACATTGGAGTAATGGGTCTTCAGGTTTGGGCTTCTGGAGACATGGGCTTTAGGGTGTGGCGTTATGTTCGCGGAGGGCGGAGGGGGTTGAACAGAATCCGTGAGTTCCCAAGTATTGGGGGCGAGTGGTTTGCATCCTAAAGTATTGGGAGATGCCGGCTATATAGATGTAGACGATGCTCACAGTCAACACTGACTATCCCCCCAACTTGTTGACAGACTATAAAGAACGACGGTACTCCGAAAAATTGTAGTGGTTGCACTCGCTCCTAAAGCTGGCTGCCCTGGATGCGCTTGGACCAAAGCCAAGCAGCTTGCTTGCTCGTGTTTGGGAGTTGCATGCTTGGGTTTCCCTTTTAAGGCTTGGTGTTTGGATGTGACATTTTTGAGTCAAGAAGAGGAGCTCGCACAAGCCCCGGCCCTCACAGGGAAGTGTTGGTTTGAACCGAAGCATCTCGAACCTTCGGCGCAAAAGCGTAGACTGTGACTAGACGCTCCAAAGAAGCCACCCCAATGAAGCTGACATTCTGAACATTCCAACTCCGTCCTCCGCCGTCCGCCCCTACATCTATGCAAGCACCAAGCCTACTGTAGAGTCTTGTCGCTCCTAATCGAAAAGCTTGCAGATCCCGAGGCCACTTAGACCTGAAGACAGGAGCTACAAGCTACCGGGGATTTGGGAAGCAGCGCGCCCTGAGGTGCTAAGCTTGGGTGAGCAGCAGCGCATCCAATTCTGCAGGCACGGTTCGGATCTCCTCCGGTCTGGGCAGCAAGGGGTTTCTTTACAGTCTGTGGCCATTTGCAGCGCAAGGGTCGGCCTTCCAGCTGTTGGTGGGTGGCGGTGGAACCAGTCCAAATCATGCTAAAGCGGAATTACAACAGTGGCCAGGCTCTTCTGGCATGCCGAGTGGCATCGTACGCACGCACCTGAGCAGTGGACTGCTTCGTGCCTTGAGCAGGAGCTGTTTGCGCCGCAGGGTCTCATCAACATGGGTGTCGTGGAGTTGGCAGTTGTTGAGCCAGTCAAGCGCGTGCGAAAATAGTGCAGTCACAAAGTCCGTTATCGCGATCACGAAGGAGTGGCTGTTGTTCCTCAGCCACGTTTCAAAGTTAAGAGGAAAAGTCTCAGCTCTATAGTACATCCCCCAAGGCCTGTCAACCAGGGTTTTTGCCACAACAAGATTCTCTCGCCAGACTCTCTGACTCACACGCCCTGTCTCTCTCAACATCTCTAGGCTCAGGAGAGCAGTCCCAAGCAGAACCGCGGGGAACACGGATTGCAGAACGACCATCATACTTTCTGTAGTTGAAACCCCTAAACCGTAAACCCTAAAACCCTAAACCTTAAACCCGACCAAACCCTAAACCTTAAACCCTACCAAAAGGCATGGCGACCTGGCCTACGGCTTCTTCGCCATCCTCGATGAGTCGACGGCCTCCATGGACACGGCCTCGGCCGCTTGTCCGAAAGTTATGGGAGCTTAAGGGTTTTTGTGGGTTTAGTGTTTTTGTGTTTGGGGTTCGGCATGTTAGTTCGGATTGGAGACGTGTCGATCTTAGGTTCAGGGCCTTCGACCTTTCATGTTCAGCTTGGTGGGTCTACTATTTTGGGGCTTGGGGGGAGTCCGCAAAGTAGGAATTGTTGAGATGAGGTGCATGCAGTATGGATCAGATTCTGTCGGGGTTTACAGTTTGCTTCCGTTAGGTTCGGGAACTGCGTTAGTCATTCACACGTGCAAGTTATGGTTTCGGGTCCTTGGTTTGGAGATCAGTTGCCTAGTGACGGTGATACTGAACATTGCCATCATCAAGAATTAATGGCAGTATCGTGGAGGAGGCGCGGCGATCACCATCGCAGATGTCGAACCGACACCACCCCCACCCCCCACCACCACCTCCGCCACCACTATGAAGGGATGTTAAAACCCAATAAACTCCGAGACAAGTCCCGACCTGTGAGAATTAATTAAGGCCTGTATGCTTGTAGAGTCATAGACGTAGTTGATGCCATTACTGCGAAAAGACCCACCACTAGATACTAGGTGATATGCTTTCACCAGAAACTCTCGACCCCAAGCCGGCGCGCAGGAGATGAAGGTCTATCAAGCCCTGAGGCTGTCAGTAGGGCAAGGTTTAGAGCTGAAGTCGTGAGATGTGTGATAATTTCCTGATGTGCCGCAGTTTCTCCTGTGATTTCGGTCCATATGTCGCTATTTCTACCATCATCATGCGGAAGTCTCAGCCATTCTGGGTGTTCCGCCCATTTCAGGGGCTTGGGTTGAGATTTACGATATTCAATAATTGAGTTTTGAGGGTCGGTAACTTTGGTTTAGGTTTTATTCTATTCTAGTTGATAGTGCGCTCGGGAGTTTGGTGTCCTCAGCTTGATGCTTCCTGATCTGTCTGCCAGATCTTCATGGACTTTCGTGGAAATTCTCACTGTGCTATGCCCATTACAGAAGACCTGATGTCGATCAGGATCTGTTACACTGCACCCGTCATGCGGCCTGTAAAGGAACAGCAGTCGCAAAAGATTGACGTTCGGGTCGAAGTTTCCGTTTCCAAGCAGCCTCAACCCATTTTGAAGCGAATCTCGAACACTACCCGAAGCTCCAAACTCATGGAGCCTAGCCACGTCAATATGCAAGCGTCCCTGCCCCAAGTCGAGCAACTGCCCTTTGACACGAAATCAACTTGGACAGGAAGAAGAAGATCGGCTTTCTCAGCGTGGCACACCGGCCTACCGTCATTCAATACCATACCCAGGACCGGGCCTTTGAGGAGTTCTGTGGAGCCAAGGATTTCCCAAAGGACTTTTGAGGTTTGGGCTTGCGGGTGTTTTTCGCTGAAGGGGGTGGGGTTCCTTCTTGTGGCATGTGGAGGTGCGTTCATAGTCTTTGGTAAGGTTGGTATGGTTTTCTACGAACCTGGAAAGGTACCCATCCCCAATCGGAGCCATTGAACATCGCCTCCAGTGTCAAGTTTGGTTGTCATGTCCTTCGACACACCACGTCAGGGACCACACTGCAGAGCCATACCGGCCAACCTCTAGGGATTCAACCAGGGTTTAGGGATGTTTAGGGCTTAGGGTTTAGGGCCTCTCACCAGGTGATGCATTTCAAGTTCAGCGTCGGGCATGACCTGATGTACGAGGCGTGCCCGTCGAGTTCGACACGTCTTTCCTTGCGTGGGCCGTTGTTCCTGCTGGTTCGTGGACATCTAACCGCGGCCCAGAGCCCTAAACCCTAAGCTCGAAACACGAACAACGTAAAACAAACACCGGACCCCGAACAACAGGCATTCATGGTTTTCCTGCGATCAGTGCAAGCAAGCTCTTAGGGCTCAGCTATAGTTCCAAGGGCCTACGGCTTCAAGGTCCAGGGTGGATTTGACAATGGTTTAAAGGTTTCGGGTTGGAAGGTTTAGGTTAACGGGGTGGCAGGATCCGGTGCCGGTTGTGTAAGAGCAGGCTGCAGGACTTCTAGTGGAGAGCAGTAGTATGACATCCTGTACGAGTCTTGAGCACTTCATAAACGTGCCAATGAAAAGTTAGATGTGTTGCGATGGTCTCCCTTTGATTTCTAAGCCCTGACCCTTGAAGACAACCCCGACACATACCTGCTATTAGGGGTAAGCACTTAAGGTTACTGCAAGGGCTACTGCACCCAGTTGAACCTAAACCGCTAAACCCTAAACCCTTAAACCCTAAACCTGAAGCCGTTTTCAGAGTGGCTCGGCTTCCTTCCCGAAGGTCAAAGATGCTCGTGAGATGGCAGAGGACTGATCTGTCGGTTTTGGGGTCGCTGCTCTAATGTAGGGACCGTAGTAATTAGAATACGGTTTCCCTTAATCGGGTCCTTAGAGGGGTCTAGAAGAGATCGATAAAAGGGCTTTATATTAGGGACTATAATAACTAAAATAGGGTTTTGGGGGGGCTCCTTATCATAATTTTGGCCCCTATATTACCAGAATCTACACTACTCTGCTTTGCGATACTAGGCTATACTACATACGATGTACTCTTTGCCATATTTTTGGGACATTACGTATGCTGTACTATGCTTCGCGATACGTTCCTAGAATCGATACAACTGCAGTACTTTGCTGTACTCGGGCCAGGCTCCGGGCTTGATGGTTCAGTTTAGCTTTAGGGCTTTGCTGTGCAGGAGCTCCGTGATTAAAGCTGAGCCGAAACGCTTGTCCTCGTGCCGGAGCTCCTCATGTCATAATATAGGGGCCTTACTAATTAGAATTTTGGGGTCCTTTGTAATATAACTATAAGAAGGAACCCCCAAAATAATGTAGGTAATTCTTGAGGCCCCTATATTAGCTACAGTTCCGGTCTAGGGCTTGACGGGCAAGACAAAACATAAAGTTTTAAAGGCATGATTCACTGCTGCACTTCGGGCCCTATACTCTCGCTGTATTCAAGGAGCACGCGTCGCTGCTGACGAAGCACCTCAAGCACCTTGGAGAAAGAAAGCTGTTTCGAGCTTCGATTTAGCCCAGTGAGGATTAACAAATCCTGAATGCTTCATGGCACCACGATTACGATGTGACGCAAAACCTGCATCGGCTGTGCGTACCACCGGGTGTTTTTGGTAATTCGAAGTCTCGTCGTACGTTCACAAAAGAAACAAATTCGACTCCAGTCACCTAAGGGCCCGGCATGACAGAGCTTTGTATGAGTAGCAATACAGTAGCATGAGGTCATAAGGTCTTGTGGGTTTTGGCATGTCGCGGCTCTTAACGTGAGGACAGATAACACAAGCAAACTCAGCCTTAACAGTGTAGCAATGCCGAGCCCTCTGAGAGCTTGCCTAGGGCCAAGGCCTGACGTCGTTTACATAGGTAGGACCTCGTGGTTTGGGGCTTCGGGTTTTCGGTTTAGGTCAATCATGCACCGCTTCAGCGAAGTTGATTATGTAGGGAGTCACTAGGACCTCCTGCTTCAGCGTGAGGTTTGGATTTAGGAGCTTCGGCTTAGGCCACTCATTCAAGGCTGAGGGTTCGGTTTGCTCGCGGCACTCCCTTCCCTGAGGCCAACACAGCGGCTCAGCGTTCTTGAAAGCCGCCGTCAGCCCGGTCCTCTCTCGACTTGACGCTGTGGTGCTGTTACGAGTTACGGGTGTGTACGAAATAAAAGCGAAGCAGATCAACGTTCAAGTCAGAGTTTTGTGGTGCTTTAACCTTAGGCATGCTGTTGCACCACTGCTTGCACGAGCGGGGCGGCTCTCCGCCCTCTCGCTAACAATCTTGGGCCTTAACCCTTGTTGCACGGAGTTCGCCATTTGCAATTTGATGATAACTTTACAAAATGTTGTCCACGGGAAATTTGGTTGGATTTCCATTGCAGGCTAAGCCCTAAACCCTAAACCCCAAAACCCAAACATAGGGCCCTAAACCCTAAACCCTAAAGATGTCAACAGCTTTCGTAGAATGGTTTTTGCTGTCCACCACGAGGCGTGTCCGAACCTCTGGCTTTCCAACGCCTGGCATGCAGATCTCAACAGAGAGTCGAAAAGGACACTTATATACTATATTGTAGTGCAAAGGAACAGAACACATGGCGTATGTGTGTCTGTTTTATCTAGACATGTAAAAAAATAGAATAATACATAGATAGGTAGATGGGTAGATAGATAGATAGATAGATAGATAGATAGACAGACGGTGCCCAACCGTACAGCCAAGGCCTTCCTTGCCAATATTGAAGTCTTAGGTCGGGGAGTACTAGCCGGCCGAACAGCGTCGACTCGCTGCGGACGGCGGATTCATTGAGGACCGCACTTGCTTAGTCTCTACGCTATACACGATCTCCAACAGCGGTACCCCCTAAGCCCCAGACTTTGGTCCAGAACCCTAAACGTTGAGACCTGAAGGCGCTTACGAAACTTCACGGAGTCTTTGCCCTGAACCCTAAAAACCATGACTGCTAGGCCCTAAGCCTAGACTGCAAATCTGTTGTCGGTGTTGGCGAAGCTGGTGTGGCGTAGGCCGCATGGACGGGCTTTGCCCTCTTCGGGCATAAGACTCAACAGATCTACTTTAGACGACTACGTATCTGCCATTCAGCACCAAGCGCAGCGTTGACATCATGCTCGTCATGTTCATCGAAGTTATCCTCATGAGCATGTTCATCAACATCACCATCATCACCAGCATCATCGCGATCATCATCATCATCATCAACGACATCACCATCATCGTCATCACCACCATCATCATGAGCAGTGTCCTCGGGAGCTGTGGAAGCAACAGCAGCAGCAGCCTCCTCCGGAGTCATATCGCCGCCATGTGTAGTGAAGATGAAGTTAATATATGACCGTCGTGGCGATAGCTGTGATATCCATTTGAGCCAAACCGAAAGCCTGACAGGCTGGATGGCATCGAGCAGCGTTCTGAGACGAGACATCATGGCTTGACGCTCTACTGAATGTTGCGTGGCCTCGCAGCAGGGGACTTCTTGAACCTACACGGTGCGGTTGGTTAGCAAAAGGAAAATGTCTAGTACATGGTTTCAAGGTTTCAAGTGACGAGAGTTCAGACTCTGTTCGTAGGCTTGAGGTGCAGCATTTCCGGTATAGAGGCTGCGACACATCTTGCGCTTTGCAGTAACTTTGTTCTTGTCGGATGTGCATGATGCACTGAAAGGAAGTGGAGTGCCTGCTAGCTTCCATGCTCGTGCCTGCTTCCGGTGCTGCGGGAATCTCCGAGCTTCGATTCTACAGTGTATCCTCGCAAGCACGGGTCTGCCGATAGTGTTGCAGACTCTCTTCCGCAGGCTTCACAGTCGGGGCTATAGGGTTCCGCAAAAAGGCCATGCAAGACCGATATTTTGGACGTGACGTATCCCAGAATGTGAAAGTGGGCTGTTTTTCGTCGGGCTCCTTCACTCAACGATCTTGCTTGCAGCAGTTCAGCCACTTCGAGATCCATGCTAAGCCTGGGCCGAAACCCCATGCGAACCGCATTCCGACATCAAGACCCTAGACCGCTATGTATCCCAAAGACGCGCACACCAAGACCTTAAGATATCCATCTAAATCCCAAGACTCCGCCTGAATCCTGTGAGGCCGCGCACCTCTCCAATGGCCACGACGCCTGGGGGCGGGAGCAGACGGCGGAGTGCATCGAAGTCCTAGGGTCGAGCCATGCTACGAGGCATGGGTTTTATGGCCATGCCGTAACAAGGCTTAGGGCTTAAGGCAAGGACACCCAGTTTCGAATGCAGCGGCCAGCGCAGGTTTCGGGTTGGCGTCCCAGAGATCCGCATTCCGTCCACACTTTTCTGCAAGTAGTGATAACAAGCTGACCGAACACACCATGCTAGACCGTTCTAAACATGCTTTGCCCGCCCTAACCATCCGAATCCACAAATCCCGAGAACCGGAGCGACCGTGAGAAAGACTGTCCTAAAACAGCACCAGCACGTACGATGCTATCTACCTGCACACCTACCGACCGACCTACCTACCTACATACATGCGAAAATCCACACAGGCCTGCATGCTTATGCATATTCACACATGTTTATTCCATCCATGTACATGCGTATGTACATGTGCGTATGCGTTTTCACATAGTACACACATCGCATATATCTGGAGTATATAATACATACACTGCAGACTAGGAGTATCTACACAGCATCAGAAAAGCGACCACGCGGGACGACCCGGCTTTTTCCAGCAGGGTGAAAGCTCCCTGCAGGCGTTCACAAGCAGCAAATTAGACAGCGCTGGGCACTGCAGTGTTTGGTCTAGCACAAGCGATGTACTGCTTAGGGTTCGGGACCCCCAACCCTTAACCGTCCCTGCCTCACCCGACCGACGCACAAGCGGATGGATAGCCTGTCAGCGATATAGCAGAAACTATTGAAGCCTACCCCCTTGTGGGGATATTCAATGAAAAAGTTTATGTTTGGGAGCTTTTGGGGGCTCCCATGAGAGGGCAGCAAGTTCCTCAGCAGACGAGACTAGTCTCACACCCACCTATGGTGCAAAGCAGCCAGCCGGCGCAAATGCGCCTCAGTGTCGAATTGCAGAAGGTTCCACACAAGTTGTGCCTTCGAATCAGTGCTCTTCATGTTCGAGAGCGAGCGGAGTCAGCATTCGAAAGGCGGCAGAAAGCACCGGACGGGGGTCGCGGAAGTTAAGCACGGTTCAGGCGTTTTGGTGATTCAGGGTCTCGGCGTTGAGTGTCTTTTGAAATCTACATCCGACAAAGACTCCTGATGGCATGAACCTCTCGTCATGCACCGCAAAGGGATACTGGGATTTGGAACTTCGAGTTCCGTTTGCCTGATCCCTGGACCTCCACCCACCGGACACCGGGCCGTTGAGATCAGAGCCAGCTAGCACAAACAAGACAAGCGACATCTTAAACCCCGAAGCCTTAGACTGGAAGGGGGTTCATTGCTTCTAAACGAAGTATACTTCTAGCTACCTGAAGTCACCTGATGGTGGTTGTACTTGGGACCCTTATGCAAGCAAGTTGCTCGTAACTAGCCTTCTAAAGCGCGAACGCCGAATGCAAGCGCCTCGTAGTAGTCCAATCCTACAGATCCTGAGCCCACCGACGCCCGCCCTGCACCATTGCCAAGAGAGACAGCACCGGCGCTATAGAGTCCGAGAGCCTTACTTCCGACAGCGCCCACTGCTTCGCAGCTCCGATACCATGGGGCCCGGAGCCCAGCGTCGATGCTTTGCGGTTGAGGTCGGGTCGAGCAAAGGGGGTTTGCAGGCTTTCCTGCGTTTAGGGCTTACGCCCTGTAGGGTTTGGGCTTGAAGTGCCACGGTAGCACGGGGCACCATGTACCAGAATCACTCGGCGTGGTCTTATATCATGCCAGCTCGATTGTTGTTCGTCCGCCTTGTCACTTGTCATGATTCGTTGCATGATCACCCACAGGACTGGCTATACTGTCCTTACAGATCTCCTAACCCCTATCATCTTCGGGCTGCTTGTTGACACTGGTAGTATCTTGTGCTTTAGGCAAGTACTTCAAGAAAGCGGTGCTGAGGAACATGCGAAGATATGAAGCAGGCGCCAGAAAGCTATCCTCAGGGCAAAGCCGGTTCACTCCAAATACATGATTTGGACTGGTAATCTGTGCTTACATCTCCTGCACCTGCGTGGGGATGTTACAGAACCCCTTCTCTTTCTGAAGGTTTTGCATGTAGCTAAATTCACGTAATCATCGAACAGATACACCACACGCACTCTCTACCACATCGGCTCCACCAGAGCTAGGCGAACCAATGCCTACGAAATTTCCTTTAAACCGTGGGGGTCAGGGTTTAGGTTTAGCCGAGGCTCTTGCAGATCCTGGTCGATGCATGGATAGGCTCGGGACGGCAGTCGCAATGGAATCGAAAGCCGCGAGCTTTGATTCGAGCCCCGCTAATAAGCAGCTAGCAGCTAGCCCGGAACCCCAACTGATGCTCAATTGTCAATCCTGAACCGTGAAATTTTGTGTGTCATATGTAGCCCTTTAGTCAGAGCTCCATGTCCCAAGCCTGGGCAGCTCTCTGGAGATTTTCCAGTTGCTAGGTTAAGCTTCCTGCCATGTATAGTCGTAGCATGATTGCAAGCGGTGCCTGTGCAGAAGAACAGTGGTATGGAAGGGCCCAGAAGCCCTAAAACCGAAGTGCTGTGGGGACCGAAGTAGATACTCGATCAGTACTTAGATTACGGTATTCAGGCTCGCAAAGGAGAGGGTATGGCTGCTAAGGAAGGCTCCTGGAAGGAGATGCAAAAGCCGGGTCCTAGGAGGCCCTTTCGTCTAGTTTGGGACTCAGGGCCTACCCTTCAAGCTATTAACTAGAGAGGCGAGAGGCTCCCTGGGACTATATAGGTTCCAGCCCTGGCCAGACAGACTTGATACCGCAACTCAAGGCAAGATCTCGTGAGAGCATCAGAGGGCCTAGCGAGTCTTTCTTCTGCACATGCAACTTGGGCGGTGTGTGTGTGTGTGTGTGTGTGCCACCTCTCTCTGAAGCTCGATCCCGCAACCATGGCAGGAACAACCTCCTATGCCTTCTTCCGAAGGCATGAGCAGGGTGTCCAGGATACGGGTTCAGGGTTTCGGTTTTGTGGAAATGCACCGCAGTAATCTTGGTGGCTTTCAAGAGTCAGCACAGAGCATCCCTTTTGCTGTAGAGCTTATTGCTCGAAGAGAACGACATGCTTTCTCCAATGTTTCCTTCAGCACCTTGAAGCTTTTGCATGCACACGCGGGCTCACCCCTTCCTCAGCCACCAACTCACCTCCTGACCCCTGCCCGACCGCACCCGCTCGGTCGCTCCCTTCCTCATCCTGCTGTCTCGCTGTCCTCTCCCATCCCTCTCCGCATCTCTTTCCCTCCCTTCCTCTCTCTGTGTTTATCTCTGCTCGTCGTTCCTCTCGGTCTCTCTCTCTCTCTCTCTCTATCTCTCTCGCTCTATCTCAACCTGAGCCGAAGTCACCACACCCTAAACTTCACGTAGACTAGACTGTTTTGCGTACCTTTACGCTGCTAATCGGCACATGAGCTGGAAGGTCCAACGTTTGCGCTAAAGAATTTGGGAATGCAGATGTTACGTAGCCGATTCTCCCCACGAAGCGAGCCTTTTGGATTCCGTTCAACAGGCTTCATCTAGGCCTGGAAAGTCGGGATGCCAGACCGTAGGCCCTGATCAACCCCTTCTACCTTGACACTACGTACAGCCTCCAGTTTTCATCTAAATACCATGGCCAAGCCCCAAAGCTTTGTGAGGGCCGGCGTGTTTGCAGCTCCGCGCTTGGATGCTGTCTCGAACGCACGCGCACCTCGGCGAAGGGTTCAGAAGACAAAGAGCAGAGCTTGGACTCAGAACGGTCTTGGAGCTGCGCATTGGCCCGGAGTCTCGTTGTTAGCATGTGCTGAGGCCCGACAAATTCTCGGGAGGCCGGCGGGGTCGCCAGGTGGTAGCACTGGAGTCGCAAATACCTAGAATGTTGAGCTAGCTCGTCGTGACATCATGCTACGCCGTGACAGAGCCTTTTGGTTTCCTGTCCTCGGAGCGGGTCACGAATCCTGTAGATGGCCGCATGCCCAAGCCAAAGGTCTCACGAAATCTCATGCAGCCCCAGCCCCACAAAAAAGAACAGACCAAGCTAGCGCAGTGCTGGAAGCATTGGTCGTCGCCGTAGTGGTTCAGGAACACTCCACGTAGCGTCAAATGAAAGTAGCAATTCAATCGTGCTGGAAAATCCAGTGGAATACGAAGCATCGCTTTCGCAACCACCGTTGGCAATTCACCACCTCCTACATGCCCACCCAGGTACTTGCAGGTCGGTGAGAAGAGCGCCGACAGCATCGAGGCCGCTACGGAGGCGCGGTGCCTTGAGGCCTTCAGCATCATCGGTGCGACGAGTGTGATCTGGTTTCATCTTGCCTCGCCAGGCCGTGCAAGCTGCCTTGGAACGGAACAGGCCTTGATCTGAGAGGGAATCGGCGACTCCCCAATGATTGGAAGCCCATCTCTTGGACGCGGAGCGGCTTGATGCTAAGCGGCTATGAAACCACTAAGCCCGAAGAAACACCCCTTTGCGTTATTGTAGGTTTGAGAAGTTTAGGGTTTGTCGCCGTTCTCTCTATGATGCCAGCATATGTCACTGCCGCTCAGTAGCATGTGACCATGGCTTCCACAGAGACATCTCGAGATGGAGATGGAGATCTTGAAGTTGAAATTGAATTGTTATTCTGGCTTCAGCCGAAGATATTCGCTATCCAGATCACATAGTGGCAGTGGGCTTCGATATGCTGGACAAATCTGACGACAGCGCGGCCACCTTGGAGGTCCAACACTCGCAGTCCTTCTCTTCGTAGTTACAAAGTGACAGCCTTGTCTTAAGTTTATCAAAATGCAGCAAAGGTCTCCATATGCACCACGTGCAGGCTTCTCTGTGACCCGGCTGCACTGAAGTCAGCACACTCAGAACTCATGAGCTCCGTCCGTGTCATCGTGGCCCTTGCTTCAAGCGTCACCAACACCGTCGTCGTCATGACCGAAACCATCACAGTGATGAGGGTGACCGTCGCCATCAGCACCTGCAGCAGCATCAGCATCAACCGAAGCAGCAACACCGGTACGGGCAACAGCATCAGAACTAGGATTAC